TTTCTAGTTTAATAATATCCTTTCTACAGTAGGGTGACCAGAGCTGCACGCAATACTCCAAATGTGGCCTCACAATATTTTGTACAGTTGCAACAAGACATCCTAACTCCTATACTCAGTGCTCTGACTGATGAAAGCTGGCATGCCGAAAGCGTTCATCAATACGATTTCTCACTGTACAGTGAGATCCTTTTCCGCATTGCATAACATTTACTGCTTTATTTGTTTTGCTAGTTATATAGTGTGGCAGAGAGATCAAACACCCATCTGTACTTGTATAGCGTGCAAATATTTAGATGTGTTTGTTTACAATGTACTTTAGCCAATGTGAATGGATTAACATGAACTTAGTCCAAATATCAATTCTGGAATAGGCATTTCTATGAAATGCTCTTCATTGCTAAAATAAATTGGCTTTGGACAATATACTGAAGAATTGTACAATGTTAAAGTCAGTCATTGAACTTTAGTTTGAATTTTTGTTCATTTTAAGAAAGAATAGAGATAATGCCATGCAATTACAAAGGAGCACAAAAGTTAAAAATAATTACACGTTCTTACATACTCTACGTCTGATAAAAGAAAACAGTAAATTCCTTGTGAATGTGCAAGCCCAAAACTATTGTGAAGCCACTTTGCTTTGTCACAAACCATAAAAGTTAATATCGTTAAGCTGTACATTTATGTAAAATTACTATCAGCATTTGTTAACAACTTCAAAGAATGTGAATGTGTTGTTATCGTTAAAGAAAACAGTGTGCCTTTATTCTGGGAAATCTAGCTTAATTCGGTTAGGTCCTGTTTTTGTAGATCAAGAGTTTGGGACCCTGTAACCTGAGCCTAGCCTCAAGAAACATTTAAGTAACTTCACAATATCAGCCTTCAATATGTTTTTCTCGTCTATGTTCAAATTGTCTAACTAACAAGCATGAAAATAATCAAGCACTGGAGTGAAGTCATGAAGTGTAATTTTGTTATTTGATAAGTATACTTAAGACTAATTTGCTTTGCTTCTTCAAAGCAAAAAGAATGGAAGGCAGTAAGATATATCTGCAAACTTTCTGAATCCTGAAGACAGTTCAGTTAATTTTACAGAGCTCTGTAAATATTTGACCAAAATATTTCTTATGAAACTGTCAAGAGATGTAGCTTGAGACATCCCTCAAACTTGAATTCATCCAAAGATTTGGCCTGAACAGTCAGGATAATTCTCGACCCCTTGAACTCTATATTGAAAAATGCGCCCTTGAAGTTCAAGTTCTTATTCTATGGAGGGAATGGATAAAAGTGGAAGTCGTGGTCACCAGCCCAGAAAAGAGTTCATAGACAGAGGCTGCCCTGGTGTGGAGGTAGGCTGTGCAAAGCTGGCCTCTGTGCTATGGCACTCTTGTTGAATCTGTGAAAAGAATTGAACAAAATCAGCCCTGTAGTCCTCACCCCTCATGCTCTATCTATGCTATCACATTCCTCCCTGTCACTCCTGCTTTGCCCTTCATGCCCTCCATGTCAAAATATACCCCTCTATTCACCTCCTTGGCCTTTTACAATGTCTATCCCAACTTACTGCCAACACTTGCTCCCCCTTCACTACCACCCTGCCTACTCAGCCAGTATCCATCATGAGCATATCTCAGGGCCTATGCTGACATTAAAAAAAGTTCTTAAGTGTCTGTTAATACATTTACTGTGTCATGAAGATGGGTTATATCAAATTTGAGTTTTTCATTTCATCGGTTAGATTGACAGTTTAATTAACCTTCCTTTCATCATAGTGGGATGTTTGCCGATGATTGCACAGTGATCAGCACCATTCATGACTTCTGAGATAATGAAGCAGTGCATGTCTGAATGCAGCAAGATCTGGACAATATCCAAACGTAGGGACATGAAACAATTGCCGAGCAATAAGCAGCTCCAGCAAGAGAGAATCGGTTTCAGAGTCAGCATTAGCATTTCTGGATCTCCCATTATCAATGTCTTGGGGTAGTTAACATTGAACGGAAACTGGCCTGGAATAATCATTTAACTACTGTGGCTACATAGCAGGTCAGAGTCTAGGAATCCTGCAGCATATAACTCACCTTCTGATTTCCACATTTACAAGGCACAAGTGAGAAGTGAGAGTTACTTGAAGAATGCAGCTCCAACAAAACTCCAGAAGCTCAAAGAGGTGATTATGCACAAAATTTGGAAGACTGGATCAAATTTCCTTATTCCATGTTTTCTTATATTGTTAATTGATTATTGCCAACAAAGATACACTTGTATTCCAAAAGGATATTTGCGTGTGCATGCACGGTGTTTTCTTCTTCGGTCCTTGGGCATCCTAAAAGTCTATCTTTTTCATCCTTGTTAGATTGACCATATTTCTCCTTTTTCTACATGATATCAGCTTGTAAAGTACTCAGAAATACTCTTTTACACAGTAATCTGACAAACTATAATTGTAAATTGAAGTCACCAGCTTTGGAATAATTCAAGCAAGTTGTCCCTCCATGGGAAACCACATTGGTTTATGTAAATCAGGAAAGTGGGCTTGTAGACAGATAAATCAGAACTGAGGGCCTTCTTGTGGCACAGTAGTACTGTCCCTATCCCTGGACCAGAAGGCCTGGGCTCGTCACCTCTCCAACCACATTAACTCTCACTTTTCAGGGTTGAATTATTTGTCACTGCTCTGCCCACCTAACCAGTCCACTGATGTCCTCCGTCTATCCTCCTCAAGATTTGTCACCTTGCCAAATTTCATATCACCCAGGATCTTCTTGATCATACTCCCTACACATAAGTCCAAATCATTAAAGGACTCAAAAACAGCAAGAGCCCCAGCACTAAGCTCTGCAGAACCCACTGGAATCAGAGTTCTCATCAGAGAATCCTCCTTCTCTGATCACCCTCTGCTATGAGCCTCTCAGCTAATTTTGTATCCAATCTGCCACTTTGCTTTGGATCCCATGAACTCTTACTTTCTTGATCAGTCTGTAAAGAACTTTATCAAAAGCTTTGCTAAAGTCCACGTAAACCATATGAAAATGCATTACCCTCATCAACAGTCCTGGTTACCGCCTTAAAAAAAATTGATCAAATATGCTATACGTGATCTTACTGTAACAAATCCATGCTATCCCTAATTAATCAGTGTCTTTCCAGGTGTAGATATGTTCTGTCCCTCAGAATTCTTTCTGATAAGCTCCCCACTAATGAAGCTGGGGTGACTGGCTTGTAATTTCCCGGAATATCCCTTCCTCCCTTTTTTAATAATGGAATAACGTTAGCAATGCTGCGATATGTCACCTATGGCATGAGAAGATTTGAAATTACTGCTACTGCCCTTGATATTGCCTCCCTCAACAGCCCGAGATAGTTCTCAGGTTTATCCACTTATCTAGTCCCCTCACTAATGAAGTCCTTACTACTACTGCACTTCCACACTTCTTCCAACCCACTGAGCAGCTGGACCTCTCACAGTGCCACTTTGTTTGGGCTGGTTGGCCTCCTCAAAGGAATCGTAACTTTCATCACTTTCCAAGGCTAAAAAGTGGTTTGCAACCACAATGCACTCAGGCAATTCCATCACTACCTACCATGTCCCTACCAAAAATTAATCAGTGCTTCTTTGGGCCACACCCTGTGTACCAGGATTTGTTGAAATCCAACATTTCTGAAATATATTGTTTAAAGACAAATAAACTAACAACCAGCAGAGAAATATCACATCTGTCATAAATTGGAGTACTTGTAGTTATTATTAAATACTTCAAAAGGAAACTATCATTGCAACTAAGCTTTACTATTTTTTAAAAATCAATACGGAGTACAACCACCCACTTTTGTAAACATTTCTTACGACTGTCATTCTGCAGTAGAAGAATGCCAGACACACCCTGTGGCCATTTCTGCTCTGCAAACTGTACTTTTGTCAGGAAACATAGAGCTGGTGTTCCAATGTAAGATACAAGAGGTTATTAACAAATGATACGTTAGGTGCAGCTCTTGTTAAAAAGAGTGTAAAGATGCTTATATGTACAATTTTGTTACAAGAATAAATTAAAAACTTCAGCAAAATCTAGGCATTGTAATAGCATTTTAATATTTTCTCCATCAGTAACAGCTCCTACCAGTTTGACTTGCAGCTTCTAGATGTTTGCGTTAAATAATGTTAATATATTAATGATCAACCAATTATATGAGGCTGTGTGTTGACTTATCCTATGCGTTTTTAATGCACCTGGAACACCAGGCATATGAGTTTTAACACAGTTCATCTAGACACAATAATTGTTTGTATATTACCACTTCAGTCAATTTCTGTGCTTCATGTAGATATCCTGCCTCAATTACTTCTTCAGTAAATGAAAAAAAATGTGAACATTTTAAAAAGAATTAGGATTTACCTGCACTTTGCATGTCTTGTGGCATTTAATTCTGCTTTATGTGCATCAATCCCAGTTAAGACTGATGACTTTTCACATCTTGATATGCTTAAAGATCACAGCGATAAATATCTCCACCTCCGGTGTTGTTCATTTGTGACAGCTTGCAATAACAGTGCAATTCTTTCAACAGAAGATATTGTGCTTTTAATGAGAATTCAGAAGCATTGCTTCCAACATTATCATCCGCTATAGATGAAACCTTTTTAATCGGCTAAAAAAGTACATTTAACAATTGTTGAGATAATTGTTATTAACGCTGTATGGTCAGCAAGTTCTTTGCAAACTAGATTCTACTAAGATATATTGTTTACCAGAATTAAAGTAAACATTCACAATCATGTCAATGAAATCTTAATTTTTTTGCAAATTAATTTATGATATGGACAGACAAAAGGACAGATTGAAAAGCCAGTTCTTCTTCCCTTCTGACCGTAATCAGGGTAATTTTATTTTTATTAGGCTGAAGTGTGTTCAAAAAAATGCCCATTTGTGTGCAGTCAGTTTTTATGAAGTAACCAGTCACCTTACATGAATTTTTAAACAAGCAACATTATTTACACTCACTTTTCCTGGAAAGGTTTATTGCTACTTCACACATACCATGTACATTCAGGAAAGATACAATAAAAGAAAGAGGTTTCAATTCCACAAAATGTAAAGACCAAACACTAGGGTTAAAATTTCATGTGATTGTAGTCAGTGACGCTGGGGAGGTTTTCTGGAGTTTAAGTCGCATCTAGCTAGGAAAACAGGATCCTTTACAGTTTTTCTTAAAATAAGAGATATACAGCATGTGATGTAGGTACAGTTAATTCTTGTTGCCCAAAGACCATTTTTCCTTTCCAGGCAAACGTGGAATCTTTTGTAACGAGTTTTGAGGAGGCTTTAATGTTTAAGCTCTATTGCTTGGTAAATTCAAGATGTGATAGCCAATTTTCTACAGTGATGCTTTTCCTGTTGTTATTTCTGCCACTTGCCACAAAGCAAGCAGAAATTTACAATAAAATACTTTCAAAAAACAATGTTTTGGCAATTTGATGGCTGGCCATTGAAATACAATGGAATACCATTGATAGTTTGTTCATTTTAACCTCTTGTGGTTAAAAGCATCGACATACAACACAGACAAGTCAAGGTCCTTAGGATTTCCTTGTGCAATATCACTTTCATTAGCCCTCCTTTGCGATGCAGCAGATCTGGAGTCAAAGTCAGAGAGTTTGTTGTCATTGTTGCTTTGGGACAAGTCCTGAGAACGGCAAATGTGACGTTCTAGAAGGATGTTGCCTAGGCATGTCTGTAGTAATCTACTTTAGAAATATCCAAAAGCTTGCAAACTTGTAGTTCCAAACGTCAGGTGACCTGTGGAAGTCATCTTAATGATTTAAGGATGTTCTTTTTAAAAGAGAACCAAATGATTTTGTTTTTAAAAACTCTAAAGGCCTCATGTCCACTCATCATGACACATAAATCATGCAATGCTACTTACAAAATACACCCCAATAAAACGTCAACTAAATATGGAGAGTCGAATTTGTCAACATCAGGCCAGAATTAATTTATAATTTAAAATAATTTGATCTGCAAATACGACCCAAAGTACAGTAGAAATGGTGATAAAACTATTGTCAACCTGATGTGTAATGAGATTGTTTCCTTGTAATCACTGACAATATTATATTTTACTTTCAATTCAATGTTTTCATTATATTTTTGTCTTTAATTGACGTTTATTAGCCTCTCTTTAAATACATCATCCTACAATTTCTACGTGGTATGCTAATTGATTTCCTGAATGAGGTTAATTTAATTTTTTTCTATCTCTCCTTTTTTGAGCGTCTCTGACTTGCATCAATCTTGATGCATGGACCTAACACATCAGGAGAGATATTATGGAGATTCAGACATCAAAATGATAGGCAATATGAACTGCTTATTAGTAAATGAACTATCGGTTGGTTCTTATTTTAAATTTTATAGTGGTTGAGATTTAAAATAGACGATCAAAAATCATCCAGCCACACATCTGTGGCACATTTTATGTGAGCCTACCCATTCATTGACCAAGTTTGATAAATAGAAATGAACTTAATCATGATAGAATAGTACTTTGTTAAATGGCAATTAACTGTTCAACCATTTCCTGTTGCAAACTGTATAAACATAATAGGACCCAGAGCTCCCTGCTGCTTTCACTGATTTTCAGTCTGATTCTCAATTTAAAATGCAAACATCCTTAAAGCATTCTTGGGCTAGAGAAGGAAAATATTAACTAGCATTTTCATTTATGATCACTATTTCTGCTGCATATCTGTGAATATTGGGTAAGGACAGTATTGTTTTTGGCTTTGCTGCTTGTCACAGCTAGATAGCTTGCTGACACTCAACACCCAGAGCTCAAATTAATAATAACTGGAGTGAGAGATGGAGCGCTGATGACATTTGTGGCATCGTTCTGCAGTTTGAGTCCCGCCACATCTATATTTTCTTGATCTAATGTTACTCACAACATTACTGGCTCCCAAAAACAAAAGCCTTGATCACCCAGCTACTTCGCACAAAAGCTTTGCGTCTTCCATTACTGACACTACTGATCTTTTTGTCACCTTAATTTTCCTTTCAAGGTCATTAAAACAGCAATGACACACAGCTCTCTGCTCAACCCTTTCTTTCTTCATTCATTTTTGTCTGCTTTCTACACAAACTGTAGTGCCTAAAAGAGCTTTGATGAAAGGAAACGACACCACCCTTTGTGGATCTCCTTTATTAGTGCTCATGGTCCTCCCAACAGCATTCAGCATGGGCAATCAGCTCATCCTCTCTATTATATCCCATGTAAATACGTAGTTATAACACTAGATTTGCAACTCAGAAGTTATGAATTCCTTCTGTGGCAAGCTGCAATGTTGAATTCAAGAAATCTGGTCATCTGTGGGATAGTGCAAGAAAATATGTCCATAAAACTTGGCGAAGTGTTCTAAAAATCTAACCAATTTTCAAAAGTCCAACAACTTATCGCTTCTACTTAGTCTATCCTAAACCTGACTCCAATCTACACAAGATGAAATATGAACATGTCCTTTCAGCTTAGCAACCCATTCAATTGTCAGGGAAACTAGAGGTTGGCAATACATATAGATTAGGCAGCAGTTCCCACATCCCAAAAACAAATGGCAAAATTAAATTGGTGAGATGGCTTCTTTTCTTGAGCCCATAAGCACTCCCGGATTAGATTTGCAGTTCCATTCTAACACACTTATTCCTTGGCTACTGTTACCCTTAGTGGCAACATCCATAAATTTCTATGAAAAACGTTGATGAAAGATGTCTCTCTCTCTCTCTCTCTATCTGCTATCCTGCTGCAGTTGAAACCTTTGTCCATGTCCTTGTCATTTCAAGGCTCAACAACTGGAATGTTACTCATGTTCTTCCCAAATTCCCTGCTGTATAGATTTTAATTAATTTAGCAACTCATTGCATGCAACATCTCATCAAGTTGGTAAGGCAGAGAACATAACTCTCTTGCTCTTCTTCAAATTGATGTCATTGTATCTTTTACATCCACTTAGATAGGGCTTTGCTTCTGGAAGGTGACACCTCCAAAAATACAGCAAGTCCCTCTATAGTACACTGGAGTGTCAACTGTGATTTTTGTGTTCAAGTCATGCAGCCCACAGTCTTCTGACTCAGTGATAGCATTGACCTATTAAGGAGCAGCTATACATGTCTCTGATAATTTCCAGGTGTTTCTTCCAAGAAATGATATTGGATATCTGATAACAAGCAATAAATAAATGGAAGTTGTTATTGTACCATTGTTACTATTTTGACAATAGCAATCTAATAGTTATCCTAATGCAATTAAGTTCAATGCAGTGTTTGAAAGGGAGAAATGTAAAGCAGCTCCAAACATCTTGGGTTTAACAAGGTTAACTTCAAGAGCTATGGACTGACTATCCACAGGGAACTCAGCAAATCTGTTAGTGGATGAAATGATAGAAAATTAGTGACTGATACTTAAAAAGAATTTAAAGTGATGGATAACAAATTTATACCTTGAAGGTGAAAATGCGCTCCACTCAAAAACAGTCATTGACAACTGAGGAGGTAAGATTCAACATTAAACTAAAAGTAAAAGCAAAAAAATGCAAGCAAAGATCCTGGCAAATGGGGAAGAAAAAAGATAAAGAAAAGCAAAGGGTGACAAGACAGCTAGTAGGAACTTCAAAAAGGTAACAAGCAAGCAAATTTGGAAAAGTATCAAAATCACCACAAAAAACTTCACAACTGCATCACTAAACAAGAGAACACTCAGTAGAGTGCATACCTCTATAATTTTGTGCAAAATCAGTGTTATTACAATTATGCAGCTTTTTTTGTGTTTCCCCCTGCCTGGTTGCTGCTCTGTAGCTTCATGACTGGGGAAAATATCTTTCAATTAAGAGTTTCTATCTCACTGTTGAGACTCCAGGCCAATCCATCCATATTTCACAACGTGATATGAAAACTGCTCACATTTTGACAACTGTGAAAACCATGAAAAGGTAGCAGGATTGGGCAAGTGAGCAATTAATAAAGCATACAATATCCTAGGATTCATTGATAGGGACATACAATACAGCAACAAGGAGGTTGTGGTGAACTTGTATAAAACACTAGTTACACCTCAGCTGGAGCAGGGTGTATAGTTTGGGGGCACTATTTTAGCAAAGAGGTGAATGCATTGGAGAGAGTGCAGATGAGGTTTACAGAAATGGTTCCAGCATTGAGAAATTTCAGTTATGAGATTGGAGAAATTGGAACTGTTTTCCTTGGAGAGATTTGATAAGAGTTTGCAAAATCATGGGACAGGTAGAGTGGGAGAAACTGTTCCCTCTCTTAAAATGATCAAGAATGAGATAATTTGCAAAAGAAGCAAATGAGACAGGAGCAAAAACTTTCACATAGCAAACCATTTAGTGTCTGGAATTCACTTCCTGAAAATATGGTGAAGGCATTCAAGATGCATTAGATGATTACTTAAATATAAACAATATTTAGGATTATGAGGATAAACAGGAGAATGGCACTGAGTTACAATGCATATTCAGAGAGATGTTGTAAACTTAATGGGTGGAATAGCCTCCTTCCGCACTGCAATAATTGTGATTCCACTGCAGCAGTTGAGACAATCCGCAACATTCTGAAAAAGTTTATTTGTCCTATCTCCCAATGTTAACTGTTACATTTCCGTACAGGTCTTTAATCTTTTTAAAAAAAAAATCAATGTTTCAGTATACAGCTGAGTGACAAGGTGAGATTTCATGTTTTCCAACTTTTATTGGCTGAACACTATTTTCTTTTTGGAGACAATGTAATCGTTAAACTAGAAATAGGAATGTTCCCTTCTTATGTGTTACATAGTGGAATTTCCCTGAATGTGGATTGTTTATTTTAAGAAGTGGAATTTCCCCGAAATTCCACTCCTTAAAATAAACAATCCACATTGGTTTCCAACTTTCAACAGTTTTCTGTACCCCTATTTTGCTGAGTAGCAACTATGAGTGGCAATCTTCAGGCACTTTCCTCAATTTTTGGAATTTCTTAAATCCACCATCCTCAGTAACACCTTTTTCCCCAACCCATGATAGGACAAGCATAGAATAGAATCATAGAATCCCTAAAGGGTGGAAACAGGCCATTCAGCCCAACAAGTCCACACCAACTCTCTGAACAGCATCCCACCAGACTCACCCACCTATTGTATCCCTGCATTTCCCATGGCCAATCCACCTAACCTGCACACCTTTGAACTGTGGGAAGAAACCGGAATACCCAGAGGAAACCCATGCAGACATGGGCAGAATGTGCACACTCCACACAGACAGTCACTCAAAGGCCGAAATTGAACCTGTGTCCCTGGCACTGTGAGACAGCAGTGCTAACCACTGAGCCACCGAGCCACTGAGTCTCTTTGCTGACCACAGAGAACTGCTGTTGTCTGAGGTATTTGGTAATCAGTAGGGAAGCTATAATCTGATCTCAAAAATTACTTTCTATGCCCTTTCTCACATGACAATGTGAAAAACATTAACCTTGTCTCCAGGTAGAAAGGTTCATTTGCTATTCATGACCACAACTCTCTTATCTTAGAATGGGCAGTTTACAACACAAAATATTTACAACATACTAATTGAAACATCTTTAAGGGACTTTAGGAGACTTCGTATGGGGTGGGAGTGTATATGAAGTCTGAAGGAATAGAAGATGACATGCAAGGTGATTAATATGGTGGATGGAGAATCTTCATACTTGTAATATGTTTGCATGTCACTTATATTTATCTTTAAAATTACATTCTACCTTCAAGAAAAAAAGTCAGC